TTCTTTCTAATCCAAGATTCCTGGCTCCAATCTTTCTGACAAGATTATCACATCTGCATTTCTGCAGACCTGGTTTTCTGTTTGGGGCAGAGAGAATTGGGGGGTTGGTTGGTTTCTGCCTTTAAAATCTTTTGGGGAAATATATTTTGCCTTTTTAGTATTTCCTAAAAGATTTATTTCTCTGGATTCTTCCCACATCCCTTTTGATCTTGTGAAGTGCCTTCTATTTCATACTACTTTAGAAAGTGGCCAAACACAGCATTGCTGCTCCTTCAGCAATTTCATTGGGTGAAGTTTTCAGTCATTTTACAAATGTTCCATCTGATGGATGTTGCAGCTACACTTCACCAGGCCCAGCAGAACAGGGCTATGATTTACATTCAAGACCAGGGATGTTCCTCCTTTCCTGCTAGTAAAAATCACTCAAGGTTCTGCCTGATCCTGCATCACAAATCCTGGCCCAGATGAATTCCACCTTCTAAAGATAAACAAATATGATTATATATCTTTAAGACTGCAGAGAAGAGCGACACAGACGATTGAAGGGACTGAAGGCTAAAACAGATGAAGAACAATTGCAGGAATTGGGTATGTCTAGTCTAGTGAAAAGAAGGATTAGGGGTGATGTTGTGTTCTCCGTTTGCGTGTGAATGATGAAGACACATGGTGACAACTGCTTTATTCTCCTACTCCAACTCCAAGCAAAAGGCAAAAGGCACGCAGGCCTTTTATAGGGCTTGAACCCCGCACAGAGTGAACCAATAAGAGTTCTTCTTTCTTCGTGCCTTGCGCATGCGCACAAGCTGGCGCCGCTCTGTCTGGTCCCGGACAGCTTTTAGAATGCCCAGGACCATTTGCAACAATTCTGGGCCTGCTGAGTTTCCTCATCAGGCCCAGGACACAACAGGTGACATGATAGGAGTGTTCTAATATTTGAGGGGCTACCTCAAAGAAGGCAACCTATTTTCCAAATCATCAGAAGGCAAGAAAAGAAGCAATGGAGGGAAACTAATCAAGGAGAGAAGCAACCTGGAACTAAGGAGAAATTTCCTCACAGTGAGAACAGCTTGCCTTCAGAAATTGCGGGTGTCCCATTATTGGAGGCTTTTAAGAAGAGACTGGATATCCAGTTGTCTAAAGACTCTCCTGCTTGAGCAGTGGGTTGGACTAGAAGACTTCTGAGGTCCCTCCCAACTCTCTTATTCTGTGTTCTGTTAATTTAAAAGCAGAGAATTGAAAATCCATGACTTTTTCGTGCTTCAACATTAACAATGAGTAGGAAGAGCAAAGGATTAGTATTCAAATCTCCCTCATGGTTTCTCCTCTCTTTTTCTAAAGCAGTGGTTCTCAACCTGTGGGTCAGGACCCCATTTGGGGTCGAACGACCATTTCACGGGGGTCGCCAAACAACGCAGTCCGCCATTTCCCCCCCCTTTTCTTAGCTGTGCTACTCCCTTTTATTCTATTGGCTTTTGAAAGCCAATAGAATAGACTCTCTTGAATAGAGTCTAATTCTATTGCTGCACCAGTTGAGTAGTCCTCGACTTACAAACGGTTGAGTAGTCTTCGACTTACGACCGGTTGGGGGTCTCGGCATTAAAAAGGTTGAGAACCATTGTTCTAAAGCGTCTATACTGCCATATCCCTGAGAAACACCTAGCATTCCCTGTCTGTTGTTTAGAATTGATTATCTCCAATAAAAGTAAGTGATTTTTCACCTGTAAAATATAGTCCGTGACGGCCATTATGAAGCTTTTAAAAAGCAGCAGATTATACCAAAGATCTCTGGGATTTGACAGACCTTAGGAATACGATAGTCTTCAACTTACAACAGTTCATTTAGTGACCGTTCAAAATTACACTGAAAAAAAATGACTTCTGACCGTTTTTCACACACAACGATCATTGCAGCATCCTCAAGATCATGTGATTAAAATTCAGACGCTTGACAACTGACTTGTATCTATGACGGTTGCAATGTCCTGGGGTCACGTGATTCCCTTCGGTGACCTTCTGACAAGCAAAGTCTATGGGGAAGCCAGATTCACTTAACAATGGTGTTACTAACAACTGCAGTCATTCACTTAACAGATGTGGCAAGAAAGCTCGTAAAATGGGGCAAAATTCATTTAACAGCTGTCTTGCTTAGCAACGTAAATTTTGGGCTCAATTATCATCATAAGTCGAGGACTACCTGTATTTTCTAATTCCATGTAGGGTAGATGCCCCTGGTCTGGGACTATGAAACAAAACAGGTAGATCAAATGTCGTGTAGGTTAGGACTACTTTTCAGTATAAAAGCTACAGTTACAGAATCTTGCAAATCTGAATGTGTTTTCTTTCACTTCACTTTATATTTATGTGAACTTTCTCAAATTGCCTTTTTTGGCCTGGGCTCAAGCCCCTCTTATGTGACCATTGCTCTGATAGCGTCTCTGCTATCTTCTAGGCCTTCTAGGCCATTGATGGCGAACCTTTTAGAGACCAAGTGCCCAAACTGCAACCCCAAACCCACTTATGTATCGTTGGGTGCCGGGTGGCCGTGGCTCATTGGGTGGGTGTGGCCAATTAGGTGGGCACGGCCCATTAGGTGGGTGTGGCTGCAGTGGTAATGGCAGACTGGGTGGGACTAAAAAGTTCAATCAATCAATTCCAACTTTGCGAGATCTTTTTTTTTTCTGCAAGAAGTTGAAATTGATTGATTGAACCTTTTTTTCTTTGCACATGGCAGTGGAGGCCTAAAGCGAAAAGATTTTATAAAACCTAGCTGAAGGCCTAGGACTGGGGCAATGGCGCACGTGCTCACAGAGAGGGCTCTGTGTGCCACCTGTGGTACACGTGCCATAGGTTTGCCACTACAGTTCTAGGCTTTTCCCTATTTTTCTATAATGGGTATCTTTCTGACGTCTTGGATGAGAAGTGCCACAATCTCACTCAATAGCAGAACTGAATACAGTGATAGGACTTGCCCAAGACATCTGGTGGGGCTGGCTCAGGAATTCTGGGAGTTGAAGTCCACAAGTCATAAAGTTGCCATAGTTGCCCAACACTGTAACAGAATAACAGAGTTGGAAGGAGGTCATCTAGTCCAACCTCCTGCTCAGGCAAGAAACTCTATGCCATTTCAGACAAATGGTTATCCAATCTCTTCTTAAAAACCTCCAGTGTTGGAGCACCTACAACTTCTGGAGGCAAGTTTTCCCACTGATTATTTGTTCTCACTGTTAGGAAATTTCTCTTTATTTCTAGATTGGTTCTCTCCTTGATTAGTTTCCATCCATTGCTTCTTGTCCTGCCTTCAGATGCTTTGGAAAATATGCCTGCTCTAAAGGGGAAGTTTCTTCCAATATTTTAGGAATGCTGTGAACATACCAAGATTGGTGTGGAAATGAGATCAAAGGAATAAACCCGAATGTGTGGAGGACTCATGTTTATTTTTTACAGAATACAGATATACATATCTACTCAGAAGTAAGACCCATTAATTTCAATGTAACTTGCTTCTAGATAAGAGGGAATAAACATACAGCCAATAGATCTTTTTTCATGGTTTAAAAGCACATTTTGAAATTCTACTATCAAACAAAATTAAAGTAAATTAAAGTAATTTTTTAAAAGTAAATATATGCACATCAATCTCTCTGTTCCCTTTCAGGGTAAGCCATGTTATATAAAGTGCAGAAAAGTAAAAAGTAGTAAGCAAAAGAAATTAAAGGCTAAAAAGAAAATGAAATGAATTTAATTTACACAAACACCATTCCTTACACCTTTCCATTCTTCCAACTATCTTTGGTTCTACCTCATCTATAGAATTAATCCTATATTGCTTTCTGTTTTACAAGCTCTTTTTTGGAAGATCCCATCTCAATACTATATCAGATAAAATTTTCATTACCATCATAGACCAACCTATACTTTACTTTATAAATTGATTTATTCTCACTAATGAGGAAAATGAATGATGGGGCTTAAAGAGGCTTCTGTGACAATTGAACAAATATTTGGAAAACGAAAAACTCCTCCCAAAACTTAGAGTCCTTGGCTGCAGGTACTGCCTAGAACTTCCTAAAATTCCTTGATGTGATTTCTTGTTTGCCCTGTAGCAGATCCAAAAGATCAGAAAGCATTTTCCCAGTTCCACCTCTGAGCACTCTGTAAAAATTGGGAAATCAACGGTTGTAGGATGCTTAGTTTGATTCATTAAGTTGTCCTTTGAGAAACTAAAAGCTGGAAATAAACTGTACCAGTTCAGAGATTTATTTAGTTCGTCTTGCTTGTCCAAATTAGTAAGAGAAGAAATCTGTTCAGCTTGCATTCTAAAGCAAATTGAATTAATCTGAACTTTCAAAATGAAGAATGGAGCTACTATGTATGCTGGTATCTAAAATTCAATGGTTGTTTTCACAACACACACACACACACACACACACACACACACACACAAAGCACAAGGATGTACACATGTGGGGAATGTACGTGTAGAAATGTATTATATTATATAAAAAAAATCCACTGTTACTTATCTGTATTTAAAAAAAATTGTACTGTGTTGGAGAAAGTGTGTGGATGCAATCCATATATTCAGAGCAAAGGTATATAAATGTTGACTTTAAAACAAATTGGCAAACTGATGTGGAAATAGGAATAATTTTCAACACAGGAAAAACAAGGAAATGGGTAAAGGCAAAGCAGATGGGTTACCCGTATTCCAGATAACTCCAGGAAGCAAATACAGGTAGTCCCCGATTTACGACAACTGAACCCCAAATTTCTATTGCTAAGCAAGACAGTTGTTAAGTGAGTTTTGCCATATTTTTATGACCTTTCTTACCACAGCTGCTAAGTGAATCTCTGTACTTAAGTTAGTAACAAGGTTGTTAAGTGAATCTGGCCTTCCCATTGACTTTGCTTGCCAGAAGGTTGCAAAAGGGGATCCCATGACCCCCCCCCAGGACACTGCAATCCCTCACATTCTGTTGCCATTGTGTCTGAATTGTGATCATGTGACCATGGGGAATGCTGGCACACTCATAAGTGTGAAAAACGGTCACATGTTACTTTTTTTCAGTGCCGCTGTAACTTTGAATGGTTGCTAAATGTTGTAAATCGAGGACTACTAGTATTATAGATTTGGGGGAAGCCAGAAGACAAGGCAGAAGTGCTTGAATGGACCTGCTGAACGGGTAACTGAATGTGGCTGACGTCGCAGGAGTATTTGGGGACAAAGGCAGAAATGTCGGCATATATAGGGTTAAATCCAACTCTCCTTCCTGTATGCAGGAATAGGGCAACATAGCCCCTCCTTTTTAGACTGTTATGTATGCAGCCTTTAAAAGATAACCGGCTCAGGGGCAGCCCAAAATAGCAGCCCTTGGCATATTTTCATCAGCTTCCAGTGGGTTGCTTGCCTTAGAAGACCTCTCTCACTGCTGCTGCTCAGCTTTCAAATATCTGCCTAGGGCCCCAGGCATGCCAGATATCATATTTCTTCAGTGGAATGAGGGGTGGGATGGAAGGGGGGGGGAAATTGCATTGGGGGGGGACTCATCCTCCATTGCCTTATCTCCCTCATAGACATGACACTGTCATCAGGAGAAATGTTGGGAGAATGAGAAGGCCCCAGCCATGCTGAGGAAAAAAAAGCGCAACTCGTGATCATATTTGGAGAAAATCCTATGAACTGAGGCTTTGGACGGTTGGAGAGAAAACACAACACTACTGCCTCTGGGCTGAAAATGTAAAATAATAATAATAATATACAAAGCCGGTTCGGCAGAAGCTTTTAGTACAGGAGGAGGAAGACAGTGTAAAATCTCAAAGGGTGAAAAAGATTAAAAGGGGCTTAAGGGAGATGGGTATCAGTATTTCTTGACCATGGGTTGTGGAACTACTGGAGTTGTAATTGGTCTAACACTAGTTTCCCAACCCTGTTTTAAAGAGAAGCTTGCAGAGGATGAAAATAAGTGGAAAAGGAATGGAAAAGGTAGAAGGCAAAGACAATGAAAAAAGAAGAGGAGGAGGAGGAGGAGGAAGAGGAGGATTAAGGCAACTTCAAATCTTAAAGCTTCATTCATATGCTCTAAAAGATAGGATATGCCTTCATTAAGTCACAGAGGCATTTTTGAATAAAAAGAAAAGGCGAGAGTGTCTATTTAATACAGTGCTTGATTGGATAAAACTACAATCCCCTGGAGCTCCATGGACGTTACTTTCAGGTACAAAAAGTAGAAGGATAGCAGACTTAATCTTTGGCACCTTCTAGAGTTGGTTTTCTCTCCTTCTTGAAAAGAGGATTAGAGGAAGCGAAGGAGCCAGGCGCCTGAGATGGCCAGAAGCACAGGCAGAGAGATGTGAGCAGAGGGCAAGGTGGCCCCCGAATTGCAGAAATCGCTGTGGCAGCACTTGTAACTGGTGACATATTTGAGGCCCTCGTAGCTCTCAGTATCATTCTTGCTACATTTATCCTCCATGACGCAGTTCTTCTTCTTGATGAGATTCTTACCAGCTAGGTGGAACATCAAAAGAAAGAGAGTGAGAGGTATGTATGGATAATGCTCCCTGCCACCCATACAACACACCATTATTGCATTGTTGGGAACAAGCAGGGCAGAAAGCAGAGCAGAACTGACTGATAGTTTGATATATCAGTGTTAGAGACCACCCATTTCACTCACTATTGCAAAAGTCACAGCTAGGCAGGAAGGAAGGGTCAAGTGAGGAACTAGCCTTGAGTCCCCGCGTAGTCTCCAAAAGCATAAGACTAGTTCCCTGCTTGACTCGTCCTTCCTGTCTGGTGTTTCCCAATACTCACAGAGTAATTCTGGATGGTGTTTTATTTTATTTTATTTTATTATTTTATTTTATTTTATTATTTTATTTTATTATTATTTTATTTTATTATTTTATTTATTTTATTTTTTATTTTATTTTTTATTTTATTTTATTTTAATTTAATTTAATTTAATTTTATTGTATTATTTGTAAAATTTATAGGTTGCCCATCTTACCTGAGGTAATTCTGGGCTGCATACAATCATAAAAATTAAAAATTATATGCTGCCGATCTCACTATCAAGTGACTGGGTGGCTTGCAATGTCAAAAATAGCAATATAAATAAATTAGAAGGTTTAAAAACATGAAAAACATTAGGTGCTAAAAAGTTAAATCATTAAAATTAGCAACCTTAGAAGGAGAATGTGGAGGCAAAGGACCAAGGCGTAAATAGTGTGGAGGTGGGATCTTCTCTTATTCTACTAGCTACCTTCAGAATGGGACACTCCCATTGGAACCCCAAGCCAGCTGGCAAATGAATGAATATATACACATTTAATATATAAATAAAACAAGACTAGAATTATTAAAATTAAAAGGCAGGGGGAGGGTCTAGCCAACTCTGACCTTGCACGCCTCTCTGCAAGTCCTATGCAGGTTGAACGAGTCAGATCTTCAAACTCTTCCAAAAGGAGAGTGAGGGCCCACCACACCTTTGGGGGAGAAGATATTCCAAAGGGGGTCCGTGTGAAGTAGATATTGCTAAATGTTACAAATCCACACACTTGAGTCTAAAATACTCAAAACTGAGTGGGTCTTTTGCTGAAAAATTTCATGTGGCTTTATTGGTCTTAAACAGACCAAAAATGGTTAAACAGATGAACAAAATGGAACATTTTTAATGCATTGCCTGATATTGATTAGGAAACTCAGGGTTGTTTATTCCACAAATAGGTTCTACGGGGACCTATTCAGAAGTATTATTCCAATAAACAAAGTTATACCAGATTAAAGTCCCTGGGGAAACAGCCTAGGTGAAGACAGGGAAGAAATTACAAAAATAAAAACAAACAAAACAAAAAAACATCCTTACCAATAGCTCCATGGATGACAGCACAAACCTCTCCGCTTTTACAGGTGACCGTTGAAGTGTGGCAGGGTAAATTGAAAATGGTGAATTTACACTGCAGACATTGAAGAGCAGATCCTGAGATGCAAAGAAAGTTTTGTTTTGTTTTTTAAAAAGGAGGGAGATGAAATCAATTCAAGCTGGAATTCACAATACTATGCACACTTTTGGTGCCACCCCAATTAAATAATAATAGTTAGGGCTAGAACTGGGCTCCTGCCCACCTAGATTCAAGTAGATAAATAGGTACCACTTTGGTGGGAAGACAACATGGTTCTGTGCACCTTTGGTGTGTAGTCATGCTGGCCACATGATCCATGGAAATTGTCTTCGGACAACACTGGCTCCCTCAGCCAAGAAACAGAGATTAACATTGTGCCCTAGAGTTGGACATGCCTGGACAGGGGAAATCTTTGCCTTTACCTTAGAACTTTGCAAGAAATACCATAGAGGGCAATTACTTTTTGTGGTTGCATTTAATAACACAGCAAAATGTGGACACAAATCATCCAAAAACACACCACTTAATTCCCTTGCAAACTGGGATTAGAAGGCAATGCGATGACGTTTCAAAATCAGGGTCCTATCTTGACTTGTCCGCCTTTGAGCTATAGGATTCAACCGCAAGCGGCAAAAAGTGCTACTTTCAAACAAATGGTTGCAATGCAAACCCTGGCTGCCCCATGAGGGAGATTTATTTATTTCTCCTTGGGAACAATTGTACGAGTGTTATTTGTCAGAGGGTGTGAGAAGTTGGTGGCAGGATTAAGAAGAGGAGAACAATGCAGTCAAAGAACAGGGAAGCTGGAACTGGCAAGATGAGGTTTTATTTATTTATTTATATTTATTTATTAAATTTATTTGTGATTCATCTTGTATTGAAACGACTCTGTTTCATTGTCTTCTAATTTCAGGTGTTGATTAATGCACACCTATTCTCAAATGCAAGTAACAACAACAACAACAACGAGTTGGAAGGGACCTTGGAGGTCATCTAGTCCAAAGCCCTGCTCAGGCAGGAAACCCTAAACCATTTCGGACAAATGGCTGTCCAGTCTCTTCTTAAAAACTTCCAGTGTTGGAGTCTTCTAGTTATGACCACAGCTGGAACCAGAATTTTCATTGCTAAGCAAAGCGGTTGTTAAGTGAGGTCGTGCCCGATTTTATGACACTTTTCACCTTGGTTGTTAAGCAAATCACTACAGTTGTTAAGTGAATCATTAAGGGAACCCGGCTTCCCCCATTGTCTTGGCTTGTTGGAAGCCGGCTGGGGAAGGTTGCAAACAGTGATTATATGACTGCAGGATGCTGCATGCCGTTTGGCCAAATGCCCACATTTTGATCATGGGACCAAAGGGCACGCTGAGCCAGTTATAAGTGCAAGAATGGTTGTTAGTCATTTGTTTTTTTCAGTGCTGTTGTAACTTTGAACCGTTGCTAAACAAAGACTATAAATCAAGGGCTACTTGTACGATATTCAAGTTAGATATTTTTTTTTCAGCATCTCTTACCATTTAGTTCAAGGCAATCCAAGCATTACAGCAGCGGTTCTTAAACTGCTTGATTAACCCTTTTCCCAGGCTTGATGGTTGTCCCCAATTTGGGTCTGAGCCTAGTGCTGAGGCCGATGAAGAACACCAGGCACAAAGTGCAGGTTTTTTTTTCCTTTTATTGAAATGCTCCAAGAAAAGAAATCCTGGCCAAAATGCCAAGGAACCCTCAGCAAAAGAATTAAGAAAGCTTTATATATTTTCACTAAAGCAGAAGGCGGGATAAGGCAGGATATATAAGAAATACCATCTAATAAACATTTTAATCATGATCTAACAATTATTCTATTAGTCTCTAGCCATCCCTATTCCTAAGCCTTGGCTACTGAATGCTTCAAGAGTTACCTAATACACATTGTATTTGGCTCCAGGCCATCCTTATTCCTAACTTCTAGCTGAGGTCTGCAAGATGCCTAACTCTTTGTTACTTTTATCAGCTTTCTAACCACCCAGAATTGTTGCAAGCTTTACACGTGCATATTCCCTGGGAATAAGCATTCTTTGTTCTTGCCAGACAATTACAGGTTTTCCTGTCTCGTTTCAAGCATATGCCATAACCTTGCTTTGTTTTAGCAGACAGCCCATCACAAGTAATGCCATTATCCTCATCAAAAAAGCTTAGACTCGGTTGTTTTACACCAGTATCTTGGCAGCCATAGTGCCAAACTGGATCCTTGACTCACAAACAAGCAATTACATTACTTCATTATCCTCAGGATATGCCCAAATGACCCCCTTGTAAATTACTGGTAAGATGATAATTACCTCCAGTTTAACACCCACTGAACTATCCGGTGGACAACCTTTTTTGGATAAAGGTCTTAATGGATCTTCTGACACCTGAATACCTGGATTCACATGCCTTATTGTGTTTCTCACAACTCAGTTTTCAGAGTTCGCACAGCACAGGGGCCACAGGGCCTGGATTCACCCAGTTGGGCTAAAATGCAATTGAATTGTGAGCACGCCTATAGTGGCTAGCCAGGTGCTACAATGCAATCCAAGCACCGGAATGGCTGGATGTGCTGTTTACAAAACAAAACAAAACACAAAACACAAAACAAAACATCCTTTACTGCAAGATTGTTTCTGTTGTGAGTTCAGCTGCAAGCTCTAAGAGAGTGGAGTTTGTGGCCCACCCAGTTAGCAGCCTCAGGAAATTAGGCAGAGCAAAACATAGCTGAGTAGATGAGAGATACTTTAAAATAACAGCAATTTTAAATTTGCAAATGTGCCCATGAAATTCAAACATGCATTCATTTTTGTGGTGAGAGCTGGCTGGGGGGAGGTGGGAGGCCACTTTACCACCAACACAATGAGGCTACAGAATTTCTAGGCTCCTAAAAAATTCTGTCAAAGAGAGCAGAGAAAAGCAGAATAACAGAGTTGGAAGGGAGCTTGGAGGTCTTCTAGTCCAACCCCCTGCTCAAGCAGGAAACCCTATACCATTGCAACAATGATAAGGAGTCTGGAGATGATGTATGATGAATGGCTAACAGAGCAGTAGGTACATCTAGATTTTAGAGGAGAAGGATTAAGGCAGTGATGGCGAACCTTTTAGAGACCGAGTGCCCAAACTGCAACCAAAAACCCACTTATGCATCGTCAGGTGCTGGGTGAGTGTGGCTCATTGGCTGGTTGTGGCCAATTGGGTGGGTGTGGCCCATTGGGTGGGCGTGGCTATGGTGGTAATGGCAGACTGGGTGGGACTAAAAAGTTCAATCAATCAATTCCAACTTTGCAAGATCTTTTTTTTCCTGCGAGAAGTTGAAATTGACTGATTGAACCTTTTTTTTTTTTGCACACAGTGGCGGAGGTCTAAAGCGAAAAGGTTTTATAAAACCCAGCTGAAGGCCTAGGACTGGGGCAGCGGTGCACATGCCCACAGAGAGGACTCTGAGTGCCGCCTCTGGCACCCGTGCCATAGGTTCACCACCACTGGATTAAGGGGACATGATAATAATCTTCAGATATTTGAGCCACTGTCATGGAAAAAAGGGGATTGACTTATTCTCCAAAGCGCCAGAGGGCAGGAGAAGAAGGAAGGGGTCTTGTTAAAGAGAGAACCAACCTGGAAATAAGGAGGAATTTCCTGACAGCGACAACAAATAATCAATGCAACAGCTTGCCTCCAGGAGTTGTGGGAGCTCTTATCTCTGGAAGTTTTCAAAAAAAGATTAGACAGCAAGGGGGTTGGACTAGAACAGAGGTCCCCAACCTGTCGACTACTGGGCCACAGGAATGGCTGGCGAGTGCACGCACGTGTGTGCTCACCCCCCCACTCGTGCTAGAACTACTGCGTTACATTGTGTGCATGCACATTTTCCTGTTCCTCCCTTTCCCTCCAGGCTGCAAAGCCGGAAAAGTTGGGACGCTCTGGACTAGATTGTATGATTTCCATAGAACTAGGATTTTGTGACACACTACTTTTAAGCATGAGATTTTATACTGCTGGCCTGACCCACAGCTCTGCTTCCTCTGAACCCAGTGGTTTGAAGGACAGTTAACAAATCTGGGCCAACAATATCTCTTGCAAATTTTGATGGCATTTTGCAACACAATCAGCACTAAAGAATTCACACAGAACCTTTCTTCCAATCCCCCGCTCCCCACCCAAACACAGGCACACATATTACAGTATAAATGCCTTTCTAACACACTGCTTGAAATTTTTTTTTTTTTTAACACACAAAGGAAACAAAGATGATTAGGGGACCGGAGGCTAAAGCATACGAGGAAAGGTTGATGGAACTGGGTATGTCTAGTTTAATGAAGAGAAGGACGAGGGGGGACATGAAAGCAGTGTTCCAGTATCTCAGGGGCTGCCACAAAGAAGAGGGAGTCAAGCTATTCTCCAAGGCGCCTGAAGGCAGGACAAAAAGCAACGGATGGAAACTAATCAAGGAAAGAAGCAACCTAGAACTAAGGAGAAACTTCCTGACAGAACAATTAACCAGTGGAACAACCTGCCTCCGGAAGTGGTGAATGTTCCATCACTGGAAGTTTTTAAGAAGAGACTGGACAGCCATTTGTCTGAAATGGTATAGGGTTTCCTGCCTGAGCAGGGGGTTAGACTAGATGACCTCCAAGGTCCCTTCCAACTTTATTATTATTATTATTATTATTATTATTATTATTATTATTATTATTAAGTAAGGAAGAATAATGAAGTAAGAAGGAAAATAGAAACAGTAAAAAAAGTAAAGATGTTAAAGAAGTGGCTTTTGATCTTTTTTTTTTTTATTGAAAATTTTTATTTTTTAAAACATACAATCATTTATAAAAATACAATAAAATTTTAAAATAGAGAACCCCCCCCTTACCCTCCCTCCCACCCCCACCCCCCCCTCCCTTCACTTCCCAGAGCAGAATACAGGGTTAAGAAAAAAAAAGAAAAAGAAAATTATAATAATTAAAAAAAAAGAAAAAAAAGAGAAAGAAAAAAAATGTCATAATTAACCTTTAACTCCATAACTTATAAAACAATTCTCTATAATATTTGATATTCATTCATAAAATATGGCTTTT